AACCAATCAGATCGCTGCAGGTAGGAACCAATCAGATCGCTGCAGGTCCACAAATATCAAAACAACTCATGTTTAAAGAAACTTTGAAGAATTTATGAATAAAACAAACGTCCGCTGACGATGGAGGAAACTCGTTTTCTTGTGATTCATGCAGGTCTACGAGTCTTCACCATATTTGTTGAAATTAATTAGTAATTACGCTGATCATGCTTTTAAATAAATAAAACATAAAATTGTGTTGAAACATTTTTCTGTGGTTGAAAGTTGGACTCATTTGATCAGAAACAGCTTCTTATTGGTTTTAATCAATATTTATCTCAAGAACACAGAGAGCTGCAGCTTGTTTTTTAATCCTGAAATAATCCCACATTCTGAGCGTGACGATGGGATTGTTTCCCTGAAAAAGCCGACAGTCTGAGTCCCACCTGTTGTCCTCGCGGCTCCTGCTTCTCCTTCCTCCTCCTCCTCCTCCTCCTCCTCCTCCGTACGCTCGTCCACGAGATCTGAAGACATCAAATATTTATTTTCCTTTTCCTCCTCTTAAGATTAAAAACCTCAAAGTCCGAGAGGAGCAAACTTACTCCCGGGGACTCCCGGAGCGTCGGCGCCGTCGGTCGTAGGACGGGCTGCGGGAGCGGTACCGGTCGTTGCTGCGGCTGCGGGAGCGTCTCCGCCAGTCGTAGTAGTCGTCGTATCGAGACGACCGGCCCGGAGAATCCCGCTCCTTCGACTTCATCTGGTTCGGAGCTGTTGTAGAGAAAACAAACCGCTGCAGCGTCGCTCTGAACAACACCAGAGCGTAAACAAGACAACAACAACAAGACATACTCTTTCTGTCCCCCTGGGCGAACTGGATCTCGATCTGCCGGCCACAAACCCACTTCCTGTCCAGGCTGTGGAGCGCGTCTTCCGCGTCACGAACATCTTCAAACATGCTGAGTGGTTAAGGGTTTTAGTTCTCGTTGTGGAGGCCGGATAAATTCAAAACAAGGCGTTTAGAAAACTATCTTTGATTGTGGCGCTGAGCTGGAAAAAACGCTGAAACATGAGGGTTTTTTTTTTTTTTTTAACAAAAGATGAAGCGTTTAATCGTCTGAGGAATCAGGACAATAAAGATAAAACAGATCAAACATGGATGAAATTACTCCCACCAAAATTAAAATTAAGGGCACAGGGAAATCTGATTTTTGCCGTTAGATTTGTGGATTTGTCTTGGGAGGATACAACGTAATTCAGACTTGTTACCTTTGCTTGACTTTGAACTTCATCTTGACCTTTAACTCTTTAACCGACTCCCAGAGAGACTTGGCTTTCTCCTCTTAAACCTCTTTTCTTTTGCCCACTCTTTGCTGCCATTTCCAGACTCTTTTCCTCTTCATGCTTTACTTTCTCTTTTCAACCTTTTCCCTCCCTCTGATCCTGCGGGTCTGTGTCTTTACAGCTACTCTACCCGGGTCTTTGTAACTCTTTGTGGCCGCTTCCACAACTGGACGCTTTTACAATCTCTGAAGCAATAACAGAGAAATATGGATGTTAGATATTCAGTCAAAAGCAGAAGTTTCTCTGCTGAAAGGAAACCACAGTGAGGTGTTAGCGCACACAGTTCAGACATTGGAAAGGATATTGAATGTATGCAAATCCTCTTGGTTGACGTGTATAGAAGTCAAGTGGGATGTAGACATCTACTATCGGACCATAGCGGCCAAATTCACGCCGCAAATCCTCAGGCCTGAACACCGTAAATACAAGTGTGACTCAGCTGACCATCAGGGATTAATAATCTGCCTACATCATTTATTACAAACAGCTGGACTAGCAGAATAACATTTCCCTCCTTACCCGTTGACTAATCCACTCAGTTTAATCCAAACTTAAGTTTTATTTATTCAAAACATTCATTAGAAAAAGATTAGTGCAGATATGAATCTTTACCAACAATAAAATCTAAATTCTTTACAAATTTAATAATTCAGTAGCAGAGGATTGTGGGTGATGTAGTACAGACTGAAAATCTGGGAAGGATGGCCAGTTTTCTAATTTTAAATTACACTGAAGCAAAATGAAAATACAACCAGAATAAAAGCAATTTACAACAGTTTCCTTTTGTTCTAAAACATTTCAGAGGCAGATAATAAACTAATGTTAATTTTTCATAAAATCACATAAGACCAACAATAGAAACACTAATAATACAAATCTCCCCCTTTTTATTTATTTTTTTTACCAGAAACTAAATATTTAATTACAATGGATGTTTAAATTCAATTCGAACTTTAACAGGTTTGGGTCACAGGTAACGTTAGCTGATGACGTCAACAACTAAATTACACTCAATCTTCCTGAAAACCGTAAAAAAAATTAAAAAAATAAAAATCAACGACGTGCGCCGTTAACGTGTTAAAAAGCTTTAAATTATAAAACGTAAAAAGAGCATGGGGAGGGTAAACTATGAGATTAAACTCGGGTGAAGCTTCATTGCAGCCATAAATTGGAGATATAAAAAAGCTAGTTTTGGTTTTAGTCGAGCACGCGGCTTCTGCACACAGCAGGCTAACGTTAGCTGCTAAGCTAACGCGACTGTTAGCGTCACGGTTAGCATGGCCTTACGGTTGGATCCGGTTCCGAAGACTCACCTGGACTCATCAGAGATGTTCCTGACAAACAAAGACGTGTTCTGAGGCCTCATGTATCCGCTCAAACGCTCACAATAATTCGGAAAAAAGTAAAAAAAACACACGCAAAACTGTTTCGGTCGGAAACGAAGCGAAGGAAAAAATGCAATGCGCATGCGCCTTTAACAAAGCGCGCTGTCTTTTTCACGCGCTCAGGAGCCCACAGCGCCCCCACACGGTGCACAAGTGAAACGATCGGTAAAAAATACAAAATGTTTTTGTCCTCATTTTATAACTTCACAGACTGTTTGATCCTTAGTTCCAGGTGATAAGCATTTCCTCTGATAACGTTTACAGTGGTGGCAGTCTTCAGGCAGGTGGGAACTGTCTCCAGGGTAAGTGAGGTGTTAAAGATGTCTGCCAGCACCTCACAGAGCTGATCAGCACATTCCTTCAACACTTTTCCGGGGATGTTGTCTGGGCCAGTTGCTTTGTGAGGATTAATCCTCCTGAAGGTACTCCTTACTTCTGCTGAGGTCACGCTGAGATGCTCTTCGTCCGGTGGTGAGGTGAGTCTGGTGCTGGGTGGTCTGTTCGGGTCTTCAAAGCGTGCATAGAACTTGTTGAGGGCATCAGGCAGAGATGGGTCAGTACCATGCAACAATCAGATTCATTTTTTATTAAAATATGTTTATGGCGTGCATCGTTATATTTAAAGTTGCTCCAAGATTTCTGAAAATAAATGGACTGTACTAACTCCTTTCCATCTTTTTTTTTCATTCATTCAACCTTTATTTCTACATGTTAATCCCATTGAGCCTCGAGGACTCATTCACAAGAGAGACCTGATTTCAACAAAGAAAGATGACAACAGCAACGGCAATAGACAGTTATAAAAGATGGCAAAAAAAAACAGCTGGATTCTAAGGCGAATGTAGAAACTAAAAACAGGAACATGTCTGCATTGGTCCCTGCCAGGAGTCCAACAGATTCTTAAAGACACTTAGAGAGGTCAAAGGTCGAGAGCTTCAGGTCTTTTTACAAGATATTCCAGGAAACAGGAGCGGAGTAGGAGAAGGTCCTTTTGTCTAGTTCAGTCCTCACTGAGGGAACACTGCAGGTAATGATGTCCTGAGAGCGCACGCTGTAGCTGCACTCACACAGAGACATGTAGGAGGAGATGTTTGAAGGCAGCAGACCAAGAAGTGATTTAAAGATGAAAATGTACCAGTGAGAGAGTCTGTGTGAAGTTAATGGTGACCAGTTAACCAGTGAATACTGGGTGCAGTGATACAGTAGTTACAGCCAGTTATGAATCTTAGTGCACCATGATAGACAGCATCCAACATCTGCAGCATCCAACATCTGCAGGGTTCTTGTAGGAGCGTTCATGTAAATAAAGTCACAGATACAAGGTGTTTCCTAACATTCAGGGTTAGACAGGATCTGTTTCTGAAAAAGAAACCCAGTTTAACTTCCAGTTTCTTTACCAAGTTTTCATGTGGAGCTTAAAAGAGAGATGTGAGTCGACCAAGATACATGAATATTTATAGGAATCAACAAACTCAATGTGGACACCATTTGAGGATAAAATCTGAAAATCTTATCCAGATACTCAAAGCTCTTTACATCAGTGTCTTATTCCTCCATTCATACAACAATCTACTAAATACAAAGAATAATCAGAGCTTTATCACATCCATACACTGATGGGACACATCGGAGGCAATGAGGGGTTCAGTCACTGTCTTGCCCAGGGACACTTCGGCATGTGACTGCTGGTGGAATCGAACCCTCAACTCTCCCGTTAGAGGACGACTGCTCTAACCACTCAGCCACAGCCACCCAACGTATTTATTTATTAAACACAAACAGTTTCCAGGGCAAATAGATTAAAACTTTTGCACAGATCTGTAACATTGTGTTATTAAATAAAACTAAATAAAATCTGTAAATAAAACTTTATCAAGGCTCCAAAATAACTTTAACCGTCCCCTCCAAAAAACAAAACCCAGTTCATTTCAGTTTTGATGCAGTATGTTGGTTTATTAAGTCGCTTCATTAAACAGCGTTAAATCATTTCCACGTGGGCTCTTCCTCACCAACCTCTCGGTTCTGGTCAGACCCGTTTGCTTCTGCTGATGAAGGTCACAGAACCAGCGGTGGTCGTCTGAGGGCACAGAGCAGAGATGATTTACAGAGAAACAATCAAATCCTCCTGATGAATGTGGCTCACCTCGATCATCTCGTCCCCCTGGATCTCCCGGACAGACGTGAACCTGTCGGTCTCAGAAACCAGCTTCCCGTCCTCCTCCCTGACCGTGCACTGACCCAAAACATCACCTCGTTTATTCTGCCCGGCCTGCTGCTCCTTCTAATCAACATTTACATCTGGTCTTCAGAAATGTTTCAGTGTGAAGAGTCACCTTCAGCTTCCTGCCGTCCAGGCAGGAGATTTCCGCCTCCTTGCCGAGGGTGAAGGAGTTGACTCGGCTGAAGAACGGAGTCTTCATCGTGAACCTGAAGTCTTTCCCGTTCTGCTCGATCACCATCACCGGCTTCACGTCTTTACGCATCTTCACAACCATCTCTGGAGCTCCTGCCAGCACATTTCACTTCAGACACCTTTGCACACACAGACTTCACTGCTGGACAAACTTTTATTATTTTCTCACCGACGACTTTGAGAAACTCGTCCAGGTTCTCCTCAGAATAAACCTTCCAGGTGCCGGTGAAGTCCATGTCTGCAGGTCGGGTTTGTTGCTCTGAACGCTGCAGGTTGGCATGTTGGGGACTTCAAACTCCCTGTTATGTGTTGGAGGGATCTCCATTGAGGACCGAGCACGTCGAGAGCTTTCCATTAATCTCCAGTGCGCGTCATCACCGCGCCTGAAGTTTTCTTTTCCTCACGATGAGGCCCGAGCTGGAAAACACCAAAACATCTGACAGAATTCAAGAAAAACACAAAGGAACACAAGTTCAAACCACTCTTCACTTCCAGTTCTACAAAGAAAACCTGAGCTGGATCAGTAGAAGTCAGTGAGAGTTCTGACCTCTGGAGGACTAGAGAAATCCATGAGTCCTTCAGCAGAGAGACAAACGGGTCCAAGAGGACAAAAACTCGAGTCTGGATGTTTGAACTGCACAGCAAACAGTTCATGGCACCATCTGAACGCCTCTCCATCTTCTACCGCTCATCTGTGGTCAAATCACGGAGGTCCAGGAGACGAACCCAGACCTCCCTCTCCTCAGAGACCCATTACAGCTTCTCCTGGGGGACCCGGGAGGTTCCCAGACCACAGAGGATCTATAATCGTCCTGTGGTGAAGAACGAAGGCATCTAAGACTACATGTGACTGTCACTCATACAAGGCAGCTGGAAACAAACGCACCCAGTCCACAAGACGAGCAACAATTAACCCCTTGGAGAGAAAATCCTTACAAACAGCAGCGCACCCTGCAAACATCTGGAAAACCATGAAAACAAAAACATTCAGCATCGGGAATCAAAACCGATGACATCGCTGTCACAAAGCCAGAATGGTGCATTGCTTCAACAAGTACTTCACTAAAACTGGTTGAGTCATGATCCACCCACCCACCCACCCACCCATCCATCCATCCATCCACCCACCATCCATCCATCCATCCACCCATCCATCCATCCATCCATCCATCCATCCATCCATCCATCCATCCATCCATCCATCCATCCATCCATCCATCCATCCATCCTCTTTACCTGCTTCTTCCTTTTCACGATACTCAACATTCTTGAACAAATCCTCCCATCAGCACAAACTGGATCAAGCCCACCTGCCTGGAGACGCTCCCTTCACCTTTCAGCTTGAGCCAGTTTGAGGTCCTGACTGAGCCGCTCAGTCTGGGCACCAACAAACCGTCGACACTTTCTTTATGAAAACGGTGCTTGCGTCGTCGCGCCCCCATCAGTGACGTGTTCGATCTAAAACGAACAGGAGAGTTCCCCAGTGAGTGGAAATCAGGTGCAATGTTCAAAGGAGGTGACAGACCCATCTCCATCCTGCCATGTCTTCAGGAATACCAGTTTATTGACCATCTGGAAACAACGTTCTCAGGGCACAGTTCCTGCTGCACTTAAGACTGAGAGTGACATTATCGGTGCGATTGATCGATTAGAGTCCTGTGCTGCCGTCTGTCGGCCTTCGACTCTGCAGACCACTCCATTGTAGCATAGCTTGGTTCAAACGCTTCTGTTCTGGGCAAACACAATCACTGAGGGTGGAGGGTCACCTGTCAGACCTGCTGCCCATTAGCAAAGGCGTTCCCCAAGGCTCCATACTTGGTTCAACCCTTTTCAGCAACAAATTGTGTGAACTGTCTTGTTTGCACACATCTATATTGTGTCATGGATGAAATGACACTCCAGCAGTACCTCACTTAACTCTGCCCTCTCCACACCACAAATTAATCTCAAGAACGTCAAACGCACTTTTTCTAATCTTCATTAAACCTGAACGCTCTGAAAACAAAATGCATGATCTTTAACAGGAACCACAGTCAAACTGTCTGCCCTCAGAAAATCCTCGATGTCTCTGATCCAGTCAGGGGTTTGACCCGATCCTTCGCGCTCATGAAACTCACAACACTCTGCTCTCCAAAGTCAAATCTAGAACAGAGTTCCTCTTCTGAAACAAAACCTGATGAACATCTTCTGACAAACACAACAATCCATCCAATGTCCATCTATGGTGACATCATCTACAGAAGTCTCCTCCACAAACTGGACACCCTTTACGGTGCAGCCATTAGATTGGTCTCCAGAGCTCCTTCAGCCCTGATCACTGCACTGTTCTCTGGTGAACTGGACCTCTATTCACTCCCACAAACTGGTTTCTGCTGAACCAGAAAACCCTGACTGGTGAAACTCCATCCTTCCTCCGTTCATTACTCAACCTCTGCAGCAACAGTCGTACCCTCTGATCCAGCAGCTACACCGTGTGTACTTAAAGCTCACAGCTCGTTTGATCGTTCAGCTTTCTGCTACGAACGATCAGAACCATCTACAGCAAACTCTTTAAAACCTCAGTGAAAGCATCACTTGATGATCCCAGCTCTTTATCAAACAAATAAACCCTCCAGAGTCCTGGGCCTCCTACCTTCAACCAGTTCATGGATTAAACCAGAACGTGATGACGCTTCAACCAGTTCATGGATTAAACCAGAACGTGATGAAGACGCTTCAACCAGTTCATGGATTAAACCAGAACGTGAAGACGCTTCAACCAGTTCATGGATTAAACCAGAACGTGATGACGCTTCAACCAGTTCATGGATTAAACCAGAACGTGAAGACAACGCTTCAACCAGTTCATGGATTAAACCAGAACGTGAAGACAACGCTTGAACCAGTTTGGATTAGAGCTCCTGAAGAAACGGAGCCTGAAGGCCTCCGTCCAGAACCGACTTAGCTATTTGTCTAAAAAAAGCCACAAATAAAACTTTAAAACGTCTTCAGAAATTTCAGGACCCAAACTTTGGATTTTTAAAGTTCTGAAGCTCAGAGTCACAAACAACAAATTCACGGCGCGTGGCGTTCACAGAACTTTATTTCACGTATTAAAGCGTTCCTTCAGCTCCGCCTGCAGACGGACGCTCGCAGTCGAGTCACGGCCGCTGAAGCTCGTGGCCGACAGGAAGCAGCGGCGTTGGATGAGCTTCGTTCAGTCCCTGAGGAAACGCTGAGGAGCAGCGGGCGTGGAGCTGTGACTCGTTTGTCTGTCGAGTCTTTCTGCTCTTCGAGGGAAAACCAGCTCCACGTCAGCTCCTCACGGAGAAATGAACGACCTTCAGTCCGTGACAATAAATAAACAAGTTCATGTTTGTAACAGCCGACTCAGCAGCTGGAAGACAGATGTGCCCTGAACCCCTGACAGACGGGACACGACGGGAACGAGTCGCGTCACGACAGGAAACTGTTGTGCTTCATCACGACAGGAACGAGTCGCCCCCCTTCTCCTCTTCCTCCTCCACGTTGGGCCCGGGGTCGCTGAGGCAGCGCGACGGCTTCAGCTTCTCTGGCTCCTCCCCTTTGCCTCGCGGCGCCGCGCTCTGATTCGTCCCCTGAGGGACCTCGTCCAGCAGGCCGACTGTGTCGGGAGGGCGGGGCTTCTGCCGTGCAGCTCCGCCCCCGGGGCTCTCGCCATCGTCATACGTGAAGACTTTGTGCTCTGCAGGAAACGAGACGGAGACGAGTCGTCAGCCAATCAGAAGCCGTTATTACTAATCAGCACACCTGAGAGAAACTTCAAGGTGAAGTAATGCAAAAGTAACTTTAAACTTAAAGGTGAAATGTGTTAACTGTAAAATAATAAATATTTAGAAGACAAAAAGTACAAAAGGATAAACTGACCCAAAAAACCCTGAAACAAATCTCACGTGACAATAAAACATCCATTTTTTTTTCTTTTTATTAATTTGTTAAGATTCATAAAACCTGTCGAAAGACAAAGTTTGGCAAATAATTTCAGTTTATTACAGAATTATTAATTAATGCGCTCTGTCCTCTTAAATAAATAAAATAATAAAAACATAAATTATATATTTAGTTTGTTTTTGTTGCTTCGGGTCGAACGTTCTGATGTTTTTATTCTCACTAAACTTGATTAAAAACGTTAAATCTGAATCAACTCAAAGACCGCCCTCTGGTGGACATTTTGTTTTTATTACTCATCAGTCTTCATTTACTGGACTCTCACCGACAGTTTGGACCAGAACCAGGACCAGAACCAGGATCCAAGCAGCTGAAACGAGCTTGGACTTGTTGCTCAGCCTCGACGGCGAGGAGCGCCAACGCAAACGAGAAAACGTCGACGAGGGAAGAACCAGTTCGAGACCGGACGTGTAAAAATGATTAAAATGAAGTTCCTGAGAACTTCGAGAAGATCAAAAGGAACCTGAAGGAACTTCAGGCCTAAAACCTGAAAAATGTATCTTTTCTGTAACTTTCCTAAAATTTCTCTCAAAGTAACAAACGTTCTGTTTTTCACTCAAATTAAATCCAAATTGTTAAAATCAAATCAAACGATTTAGGAGCAGAGAAGTCGTTTTGTTTGAGAGGAGGGCTGGATGTCCGTCACGTCCTGACTGATGCATGATGGGAGACAGAACCAACGAGCGGCACAGGAGTGAAAGGCCCAGCACAAACTAAAGATGGACCGCCGTGGTCCATCTTCACAGAAAAGTTCTGACCCGGTCCAAACCCAGACTGCTGAGACGTGACGAAGATGACGCGGAGGCCTGGAAGTCTTCATCATCGTCATCAGGACGTCTTGAAGCGCCCGGAGGAACAGAAAGTTTAAAAAGTGTAAACGGGTTCTGGACCGGGTCGGACTTGGAGATGAACCTTTTCTGATTCAGATCGTGAAAGTTTTAAAGGACAGAAAATAAATCGGGTCCACTTCCTGTTCGGCTCCATCAGAAACGCCTTCGTGAAGACGAGAGCGGGACCGAGGTGATTTTCTGTCCTTGTGGCTCGATCATCCAGGAAGATGACGACAGAAACTGGTCCAGGCGACACCATGTTGGATTAAAGTTTTATAAAACCCGTTCGGACCCAGAAGGTTCTGCAGAACTGACCTGGTTCGAACCAGACTTTCCTCACAGATGTCGTCTCCTGCCGCTTCGCCGGAACCGTCAGGTAGTGACTCATCTGTGAGGGGAACAAAACAGTTTAGAGAAAACGGCACAGAAATCCTAATCCTAATCCTAATCCTAATCCTCATCCTCAGGTTCAGACCCAGACCGAGGGACTCGTGGAGACGGACGAGCTCAGATTAAAAGTTCAGAGTTTCTCCTGCTCGGCCATCAAATAAAAAATTAAACCCAAACTTTGAGTTGAAATTAAAATAATCCCAACGTTCCCTGGTTTGACCTGGATTAAATTACTGTGGATGTTTTTATAATGATAATCTACAGAATAAACACTTATGCAGTTAAATCTGAGTTCAAACACAACAAGGTTAAAAACCAAAACAATAAAATAAACAGGAAGTTTAATCTTCCACGGCGGCAGATCTCCGGGGGTGGACGAGATCATCCCTGATCTCCTTAAATCTCTGGATGTTGTGGGGCGTCTTGACTGACACGCCTTCGCAGCATCACGTGGACGCTGGAGACAGTGCCACTGGAGTGGAGACTGGTGGTGGTGGTTCCAGTCTTCAAAAAGGGGACCAGAGGGTGTTCTCCAGTTACAGGGCATCACTCTCCTGAAGGTCTGTTCAGGGGTTCTGGAGAATCGAGTCCCATCGTTGGTCGATCCTCAGATCCAGGAGGAACAATGTGGGTTCTGTCCAGGCTGTGAACACTGGACCAGCTCTTTACCCTCACTAGGGTCCTCGAGGGGTCATGGGAGTTTGCCCATCCAGTCTGCACGTGTTTTGTGGACTTGGAGAAGGTTTTTAACAGTGTTCCTCGAGGTGCACGGTGGGGGTGCTCCACGAGTATGGGACTGGGGGCCCGTTGTTACAGACTGCTCAGTCCCTGTACAGTCGGTGCGAGAGTTTGGTTCCCATTGCCGGCAGTAAGTCGGACCCTCCAGGGTGGGAGTTGGACCTCCAGAGCTGCTCGTTGTCACAGATTCTGTTCAGAACTTCATGGACAGAACTTCTCGGTGCAGCCGGGGGGTGCAGGGAGTCCGGTCCTGTGGTCTCAGGATCCATCTCTGCTCTTTGCAGATGATGTGGTCCTGTTGGCGACATCGTGCCGTGACCTCCAGCTCTCACTGGAGCGGTTCACAGCCGAGTGTGAAGCACTGGGATGAGAACCAGCACCTCCAGATCTGAGGTGAGGATCTGCTCCCTGGGCACCTCCCTGACTGGGAGGAGACCCAGGACACGCTGGAGAGAATACGTCTCTCTGCTGTCCTGGGAACACCTTGGAGTCCTCCCAGAACTGGAAGAGGCTGTGGGGAGAGATGTGTGGGGGCGACTGTGGCTCAGTGGTTAGAGCAGTCGTGAGTGAATGAGAGAGTTGGGGGTTTGAATCCACCAGCAGTCACATGCTGAAGTGTCCCTGAGCAAGACACTGAACCCCTCATAGCCTCTGATGTGTGTCCATCAGTGCATGAATGTGATAAAGCTCTGATTAGTCTCTTTAGAATGATTTGTTCAACTATCTTTGTACAGATCTAGTATAGAGCTGTATGAATGGGTAAATGAGGCACAGATTGTTGTAAAGAGCGTCGTTATATTTATTATAACCGTCGTTATTTTTATTATAACAGTCGTTATTTTTATTATAACCGTCGTTATTTTTATTATAACCATCGTTATTTTTATTATAACAGTCGTTATTTTTATTATAAAACTGTTGTTCGAGCAGAAAAACTTTGGACTGCAGCCGCCTGGAGTGTGCATGTGCAACTTGGAGCATCTCACTCCTCCGTGGGGGTTCCTCTGAAAACCTCCGCTCTGGGACCTGGACTCAGAACCTTCAGTCTCAGAGAGGATGAGGATGTCGTCTGTAAATGAACGTTTCACGTCGTGTAAACGAGGCTCAGACCGGCTGCAGGTCTGTCAGTCGAGACACATTTCATGGATGATGATCGGCTCACGTCTGGTTTTAACACCACGACTTCTACCCAGAATGCCTTTGGATCAGAGTAGCTCGTCATCGATGTAAAGGGCACCCCATAGACTTTTCTAAACTTGTAGTTTAATGTGTCAGGAATAACAAACATCTGTTAGTCTTCTGTTAGAAGCTCACCCTCCTCTCCATCTCCACCCGCTGCCTCCTGAACCGGACCTCGCTCATGTCGTCCTCAAACGGGTCGAACAGGTCGTGCCGGCTGTACGAGCGCAGCTGAGGACGAGAGAAGCAGCGTAAATAAAAACGAGCGCCACAAACTGCTGAATCGGGAGCGCGGCTCCTCCTCACCCTCTGCCGGGTCTTCTGCAGGTTGGCCCGCAGGATCTTTCGAATCTCCTCCTCGCGGGTCTTTGAGATGCTCGGGATCGCTCGCCGCTGGGCCGGTTCCGTCTGCTGAACGTTTCTGACCATGAAGACAAAGAAAGACGTGTCGATGAATCAACAGTTCTCTGCAGGTGAAGGAGTGATGAAAGAGTGCAGAGTGATGAAGGAGTGATGGAGGAGTGAAGAGTGATGGAGTGATGAAGGAGTGCAGAGTGATGAAGGAGTGCAGAGTGATGAAG